TATTCTGAGGGAGGAAGGACAAAAGTTCACAAGCATCCCATTACAAATAAAGTTTTCTCTGACGCATCCAGGCCAAGGGTGCAGAGTGGGATAAAAAGAGAAAAACCCCCACAAAAGATTAAAACAATCATAAATAAAGACGAATATGACTCCTTCACTGGAGCGGTATTCCCCCTTTCACCACTAGAGTGTGCTGCAGCACCGCTAGTGAGCGAAGTCGGGAAATGCCAGTTCATCCCTGGGTTTCAACCACGATAGAGAGAGGTTACTGACTTCAATTCGCTGTAAAACCTCCTGTGTTCAATGGAGTGGTTATTTCAGTGGGTGGCCAAAGGGGAATCAGCTCGGGTCTTAGAGGAAGAAATAGCCTATTTAATGAGAAAAGTAGTGATAAGAGTGATTCCAACGGAAGAGAGCCACAAGGGCTACTCCCGTTATTTTGTGATTCCCAAAAGAGGGGGAGGTCTCCGTTCCATTTTGGATTGACGGGTCCTCAACAAACACCTCAGTGATGTTTCGAGCTTTCCTATCAGAGGAACGCATCAAGATATTTCACAATTGTCTCTCCCTTTTTCAATGAGGGAGATCAGTTTCTTTCAGGATGTGTCTTCGGCTACTAGGTCTGATGTCCTCAACAGTGTCAGTGGTTCCCCTAGGACTGCTGCGAATGAGGGATTTTCAGAACTGGACAGTGTCACAGGGCATTCGCACCAAGAGCCATCTCAGCCGCAGGGTGCATGTCTCACCAGAATGCACGAGCGCTCTCCATCATTGGAGAGCCCCGTCTTTTCTCCGAACAGGATGCCCTCTGGGCCCTATCATATTAAGGAAAGTGGTGAAGACGGATGCATCTCTCACAGGCTGGGGGGTGTTCGAGGGCAGAACAGTGAGAGGAGTTTGGTCTCCTGCACTTAGAGAGAAGCACATACATTTTCTAGAGCTACTGACAGTGTTTCGAGCTCTGAGACACTTTGTGCATTTTCTCAAAAATCATCATGTATTGGTCAGGACAGACAATACAACAGTGATAGCCTACATAAATCGGCAGGGAGGAGTGCGTTCTCACAAGCTTCACATGCTAGCGAAATAACTGATTATGTGGAGCAGCAGGATCCTCCTGTCATTATGCGCAACAATTGGAACCCAAACTCCATCAGTTGACATCTTGGAGAAAAGCAAATGTAATGCAGTTTAATTAGAATAAATAGTATGCAAATAGAAACATGATAGTATAGATACATGCATTTAACCCTCATGTGGTGTTCAAAACCCTATAACACCTGTGGTGTTCCCGGTCAAAAATGACCGGGCCATAAAAAAAACCTTATAAATCACTCATTATACCATATTTTCACCCAATCTTGGATTCAATCTTTTTGTCAACATGTTCTCTTTCAATTAGGACTGGTTTTATATTTTGATTTGCATCTGAATAATCATAGGCCTCATTTATTTGAGAGTAGGCATTTCATTTTTTGAGTAATTTTTAAAAAAAAATTGAATAATTTTGGAAATATTAAATAAAATCTGAAGAAAATTGGTACTGTTGATCACACTAGTCAACTTAACATTTTCACCAGGAATTTTGTTTTGATACTTTTGTTTTGTAAAAAATATGGCACATAGTCACACTTGTGGTGTTCCCGGTCAAAAATGACCGGCCTATAAAAAATAGCTTATAAGTCACTCATTATACCATATTTTCACCCAATCTTGGATTCAATCTTTTTGTCAACTTGTTCTCTTTCAATTAGGACTGGTTTTATATTTCTGTTTGCATCTGATTAATCGGGGGCCTCATTTGTCTGAGAGTAGGCATCTCATTTTTTGAGTAAAAAACAAATAATTTATGAGTAAATTTGGAAATATGAAAAAAAAAATGAAAAAAATGGCTACTGTTGATCACACTAGTCTACTCTAATGTTTCACCAGGAATTTTGTTTTGAAACTTTTGTTTTGTAAAAAATATGGCTCATAGTCACACTTGTGGTGTTCCCGGTCAAAAATGACCGGCCTATAAAAAATAGCTTATAAGTCACTCATTATACCATATTTTCACCCAATCTTGGATTCAATCTTTTTGTCAACTTGTTCTCTTTCAATTAGGACTGGTTTTATATTTCTGTTTGCATCTGATTAATCGGGGGCCTCATTTGTCTGAGAGTAGGCATCTCATTTTTTGAGTAAAAAACAAATAATTTATGAGTAAATTTGGAAATATAAAAAAAAAAAAAAAAAAAAAAAATGGCTACTGTTGATCACACTAGTCTACTCTAATGTTTCACCAGGAATTTTGTTTTGAAACTTTTGTTTTGTAAAAAATATGGCTCATAGTCACACTTGTGGTGTTCCCGGTCAAAAATGACCGGCCTATAAAAAATAGCTTATAAGTCACTCATTATACCTTATTTTCACCCAATCTTGGATTCAATCTTTTTGTCAACTTGTTCTCTTTCAATTAGGACTGGTTTTATATTTCTGTTTGCATCTGATTAATCGTGGGCCTCATTTATCTGAGAGTAGGCATGGTCAAAAATGGTCACAATGGCCGACCATTGAAAGTGAATGGGAGAGACTGAAAATAACAGAACAATTTAGTTTTCAGGAGCATGTTCATTATTTTCATGTACACATATGAGCATGTGTGCTTGCAAACATCGAGCCCTTGGACCTGTGCATGTATCGATACATTTATACACACGCTATCCAGACACACACACGTTAAAACACACAAACTTTTTTAAATATTACACACATTCTTTTCCACAGAGAGAAATTTGATCCTACCCTAACCTGCATCTAATATACATTTATCCATCTGACATTACCACACACACAGGCCGTGATCAGATTTTTGACTCAGAAACTAGTGAGGAGGAGGAAATTCAGGATGCATCTTGCAGTGAAGATGTTTCTGAAGAGGAAGGCACCACTGAATCGGCTACGGAGCTTGAAACAACTGATGAGGAGCAGTCTTCCAGTGATGAGGGCCCAGCTGAGGTTACCGTTTCATTCTGGTCAAAAGATGGAACTTTGTCCTGGCCTTCATCCCCACCTATGAGGCAAGGCAGGTTTTCTTCTGAAGGCCTTCCTCTTCAGAAACATCTTCACTGCAAGATGCATCCTGCATTTCCTCCTCCTCACTAGTTTCTGAGTAAAAAATCTGATGAATAACATCATGTGCAGAGCTGTTTTGCCATTGTGCTGCCACAAATGAATGACAAGCAAGGTGCTGTGAGGCATTTTATATATGCCTGTGCTATCACATGATGTATATTTGTAAATATTGTCTAGTTCTGTGTGAGAACCTCACAGTTCCAAAACAAAATGTCATAATATTTTGTCTGGAAGCTGTGATGAAACAAGACCATGAAAGAAAGATTCTTTTGAAGCCGGGTCACTGCAGTCACGGCCAGTTTGTGTGTGTGTGTGTGTGTGTGTGCGTGTGTGTGCGTGTGTGTGTGTGTGTGTGTGTGTGTGTGGTAATGTCAGATGGATAAATGTATATTAGATGCAGGTTAGGGTAGAATCAAATTTCTCTCTGTGGAAAAGAATGTGTGTAATACTCAAAAAAGTTTGTGTGTTTTAACGTGTGTGTCTGGGTAGCGTGTGTATAAATGTATCGATACATGCACAGGTCCAAAGGCTCGATGTTTGCAAGCACACATGCTCATATGTGTACATGAAAATAATGAACATGCTCCTGAAAACTAAATTGTTCTGTTATTTTCAGTCTCTCCCATTCACTTTCAATGGTCGGCCATTGTGACCATTTTTGACCATGCCTACTCTCAGATAAATGAGGCCCACGATTAATCAGATGCAAACAGAAATATAAAACCAGTCCTAATTGAAAGAGAACAAGTTGACAAAAAGATTGAATCCAAGATTGGGTGAAAATATGGTATTATAAGTGATTTATAAGCTATTTTTTATAGGCCGGTCATTTTTGACCGGGAACATCTCAAGTGTGACTATGTGCCATATTTTTTACAAAACAAAAGTTTCAAAACAAAATTCCCGGTGAAACATTAGAGTAGACTAGTGTGATTAACAGTAGCCATTTTTTTCATATTTTTTTTCATATTTCCAAATTTACTCATAAATTATTTGTTTTTTACTAAAAAAATTAGATGCTCACTCTCAGATAAATGAGGCCCACGATTAATCAGATGCAAACAGAAATATAAAACCAGTCCTAATTGAAAGAGAACAAGTTGACAAAAAGATTGAATCCAAGATTGGGTGAAAATATGGTATAATGAGTGATTTATAAGCTATTTTTTATAGGCCGGTCATTTTTGACCGGGAACACCACAAGTGTGACTATGTGCCATATTTTTTACAAAACAAAAGTTTCAAAACAAAATTCCTGGTGAAACATTAGAGTAGACTAGTGTGATCAACAGTAGCCATTTTTTTCATTTTTTTTTTTCATATTTCCAAATTTACTCATAAATTATTTGTTGTTTACTCAAAAAATGAGATGCCTACTTTCAGATAAATGAGGCCCCCGATTAATCAGATGCAAACAGAAATATAAAACCAGTCCTAATTGAAAGAGAACAAGTTCACAAAAAGATTGAATCCAAGATTGGGTGAAAATATGGTATAATGAGTGACTTATAAGCTATTTTCTATAGGCCGGTCATTTTTGACCGGGAACACCACAAGTGTAACAATGTAACAAAACTCCCACAAAAAAATAAGAAAATTTTCAAAAAAACCCTGAGATTTAGTTAAACCGTTTGGGAACAAAGTCACTAAGTTTCAGTCCAAAGCGATAACATTAACTAGTATTTTCGGGAAAAAGAAAATCTTCTCCGGGTCAAATTGACCCGAACACCACGTTTTCTTATGCCAAAAAAAAAAGTTTCTTGATCTCGAAATAACAGTAAAAAAAAATGCATGGCTCTTATGAGCCTCCGTACACCGTTGCCCCGGATGAGCAGCGTCGATGAGAGCGCCTGCGCAGTCCTCAAATCTACACATCATACGGCTCGTCAACACACAACAGCTGAGTTCTCTTAGGATGTTTTACAGATTAGCTCTGTCTGCTAGCAGTACACTCACTCACAGACACACTCATTTAAACTCCCAGCTCAGCTTCATTCACAGGCCTGCTCAGTTATGAACATGACGCTGTTTTTAACGAGTTTTATTTATTTGGTGTTGTTATGCAGTTGGATAAGCTGTGATAATGACACAGAAGAGGACGAGCACGCTAAACACACATACACGGTGGAGATGTTCAATGATGCCGTCTCTACTGCTCCACACTTCGTCATGTTCTACGCGCCCTGGTAAAACTGTACACCTTCATCAAACATTTCCATTGTATTCAGATATACATTAAGTGATAAATATATTGAGATCAGTGTCGTTGTGTTAGTTATGGGTTGAATTGCTGCGATGTTTGAAGTGGCTAAGTCCATTAGCCACTTTAATCTGGTCTCCTTTTTAAAAAATGGAATGAAGTGGATGTAAAGTTTCTAATGCACGTTTATATAAATACTCAAAGCACAGCTTTTTTATATTAGAGGGATGTTGATGATAATGGACTTTGGTGAAAAGTTTAAATTCCTGCAGTCATAAAGTTTTAGTGTAACGTGGCAGAGCAAGAACAGCCGTGATATTAGACATCACTTCCTCCTCATCCTCTTAAAAAAAAAAAAGAACTAAAAAGTACCATGGTGTTTTAAAAAATGTGCATTGGTAATACTAGGGTTCAATTTTGGATGGTACTATGATGATATAATGTTGTTGTTTTTAGTTATTTTTTTCGACCTTTCCATGATTTAAATTTCACTGACAAAAACACCACAAATTAAATTTTTGCGTTTTTTTGGGGTCATGTATGGTAGTCCCATTGAATTATTTGAAGTACTTAGGAGTACTATGTAAATTTTATTTTGCATGTGTTTTGATACCATTGTAAATGTATAGTACCATCGTTTTACCATGTTACACTCACTTTACCATGGTACCACCACAGCATTAATCATGTTAATACCATACTGTAATACATACAAAATTAATTAATGTTTACTTATTACCCACAAGCTTGGATGTTGCATAACTTTAAAATGCTTTCGTTAACTAAATGTATTATTAGGGCTCCAATTGGAAGGTACTATTAAACAATATTCCTTGATTTTATTAACATTCTATTCTCTTGGTGTTCTGTCTGTGTTCTGTACTTTGTGTACTTTTAAATTATAAATATATTTGTTTTTTACCTTGAGAATGATTCACACCCAAGGCAATTTCCTTTTACTTGACCAATGAACTTAACTTTAGTTAGTTATGGCCCATTGCTCTCTTATGCTGTGAAACTTTTGTAATATGTGACGGAATAATATGTAATGTAGTATGCTATAAGTGTTTAAATGTGTTTGTGGTGTGCAGGTGTGGTCACTGTCAGAGGCTGCAGGGAACGTGGAATGAGTTGGCAGAGAAGTATAACAGTATGGAGGATCCTCCAGTGTATGTTGTGAAAGTCGACTGCACAAAAGACACTAAGTTTTGCTCCAGTGAACATGGGATCCGTGGATACCCAACGTAAGCATCATTGCTCCTTATAGTACTGTATGTTATTACACATCATGGTCCCCAAACAAAAAAAATGACAAATTTTGAGATGTTACATGCACAGAATGAGAGTAAAAATTATTCAGATGTTGTGTATGCTAGTCTACTTTGAACTTTACACTGAACAGCCGAATTATGACGCTGTTGACTTTTTTTTAGAGCTGCTTTACAGCAGAATTGAATTCTGTTTGCATTGATCATTATTCCCTGTTTATCACTGTTAAAGGGTTAGTTCAGCCAAAAATAAAAGTTGTCATCAATATCTTTTTGATAAAATCTGAGAGCTTTCTGTCCCTCCATTAACAGCGACTTAATGGAGGGACGCTTCAAAAGTTCGTTAAGAGATTGTAAAACTAATCCATATGAATCGAGTGGTTAAGTCCACATTTTCTGAAGAGACACAATCGCTTTATATGATGAGCAGATTGAATTTAGGCTTTTATTCACATATAAACATTCATCAACTCACACACCGGTTATGGTAAATGGAAGCTCAAGCATGTTCGCTTGACATGCGAGAACCAACGAGGTTCATGTGTGTTACACAGCACGTTTGAGCTTCCTCAAGAACCAATGAGGTTTGTTCTCACTTGTCAAGCAAGTACGATTGAGCTTCTGTTCATGTTCAATGATCAATGTTTGTCATTTATAGCTTTAAGAAATTATCTGCATTGAATAAAGCGCTATATAAATAAAGGTGACTTGACTAGCGTGTGTGTGTGTAAGAAGTTTATATGCATGATTTATAATCACCTGACTTGACTGTCATGTGCTTCAGGTAAAAGTTAAATATGGTTTGATTAATCATTGACTGACTAACTTTGTTGTGTTACAGCCTGAAGCTGTTTAAACCTGAGCAGGAGGCTGTGAAGTATCAGGGTCCAAGAGACCTGCAGGCCCTTGAGAGCTGGATGCTGAAAACCGTGCAGGAGGAACCTGAAGTAAGATTACAAAACTGATTCAATTTGTAACAGATTTAGCTTTTTAAAGTCACCTGGTGCGAGTACTGGACAATAACCTCTCCCCTCCAGCAACCTGTCACTTACAAGATCGCTGCAATAGCAAATTATGACAATCCAATTAATTCCCGATGGATGAAATCAAGTCCCGCCCTTTTTTTTTTTCTTGTTTGAGAAGCTGTTCCACTTGGATATTCATCACAATAGGAAATAACTTTTGCCATCTAAGTTTAATGCCGACTTTAAAAGCACTTTGTGTAGTTCTTGGTCAAGGTGAAAAGGCCTGTTCACACCAAGGACGATAACTATATAATTCTTAAAATGTTTTTTTTTTATTTTTTTTGTTACAGGGCGACTGTAGAATACAATACACAGGATATAAACAAACAGATCTGCAAATTGATCTGTATACATATGACAGACATCTATGTTGAACATGACCATAACACGCATTACTGCAGGTAGATAGATACACAAGACACGAGAGAGACAAACAAACAGATCTTCATGAACACCTACACAATACTGTATCACACATTATTTAGGACCTTAAGGGCTAAAATCTTTCTAAATATAAAAGAATAGCAGAGTCCACACCACAGCTAAAACGATAATGGCACAGAGAAACAATATTTTTGGGATCCCTTTCAGAATTTTTTTATTTTTCCAGCAGATGAACGATAAGAACAGCCAATAAGAATCCATCCTGCTTTAAGGAGCTTGAGCATTTAAAGTGGGAGATGACATAACTGAAGAACGAGTGTAACAGAGGCCAACTAGTAAGAGCTGTTCGAGTGAACCTCACTCCCCTGGCCTAAAGAGGCGCACTAGTGACTGATGCTAGAGGCTGTGGTCTTTAGCATCCTTGTTAGCGTGCCCATCTCACATGCTGGAAACGCTGGTTTGAATCCCGCTCAGAGAGGTGCGAGTAGAACCAGAGGGGTTACATGCGCTTAGAATAAATAAAGTCTGCTGGTGTGGATGCTAATAGTTATTGTTGTAGTTATCTTTATAGTTATTGTTTTTGTTGTGAACGGGCCTTAATTCTAAAATGTCACAATATTACAACACTTGTTCTTATTTTGTGTTTCACCCCAGGAGCCCCAGAGTGAACCCGAGGCACCCAAAGTCCCTGAACCCAAACAGGGCCTGTATGAACTCACAGCCAATAACTTCAAATCACACATCACTAAAGGTAGTAGCCCACTATCAGTCTTTATACACCCTTTAAGAAAATATTATATATTAAGAATATATCCTTGCAGTTGAATTACAAAGTGATATATCTTACAGTATTACATTGGTGGTTAATGGGATAGTTCACCCAAAAATGTTTTAACTGTTATAATTTCGTTGATAGCACAAATAAAGATATTTTTAATATTCCAATTAATCCATTCATTGACAGACAAAATTATTCTTATGATTCAGGCTGTTTCGGAAGCTCAAATGTGTGTTCTTGATGTAAAAAAAAACAACTAGGTTTGTTCTTGCACGTGACACTGTTGCGTGCTTGAAATATGTTAACAGGATGATTACGCAACATTTAAGTGAGATACAACTGTTGCCATGAGTGTAAGTAGCTGAAACAACCAAGAATCAGAAAAAATAACGTTAAAATAATTGAAGAGGTGTAAATGACGTTACAAAACACATTATAAATGTAAAAGAAAGACAAATAATCAGAGAACCAAGAAAACAAGTGTCGCCAAATCAATGAAATAAGCAAAACATAATTCCCATAACTATTAAACCCAAACCTCTAAAACTACCTACCAAAAGAAAAATGCAGAAACAAACCCAAAATCTTCAGCGTATACGACACCTTAAATAAACTACGCTGACTAAAACGGAAAAGATAACCCTAACCCCCCTAACTAACAAAAACAATACTATCTACCGTTGTTTTTCAAGATGGATTTCTAAAGGCCAAAAATCAGTAGAATACGAAATCAAGAAACAAATGAAAATCAAGTCAAAAACCTAATTGGTTAGCTACTACCTACAACACACCACGTTTGAATCAGATTATCTGCGTATAACACAGGGATCAGTCACACGCACACACCTGCACTTAATACTAGTTTTGAGTGATCTAGCGCTGAAACAGTGCATTCTCTCAGAACAGTGCAATAATAGATCAGCAACAACAATAAACAAACCCGAAGGTGTGTTGATTTCGAAACCACCGCATAAACAAACATTAACGTGATCATGGCTGAATTGACATTTTAATGTTTAATGTTGAATGAGATCCTTACTCCTCGTCAGTGGGGCCTTTTAACCTGCCGGACAGGGGATTGGTCGAACGTATATGATGATGCACAGCCGTATTTTCCAGTGATCATAACCTAAGAATAATTTGTGGAAACAAATAAAAACAAAAGCACAAAAAAGAAAATACAAAAACACAAGTGGCCATATTTGATGTGGCTATGTATGTTATTTGATTTCATGTTTATATGTGAATTTAAGTTCAATTTAAATCCATTAGAAAGCAATGTGTATCTCTTCACAAGACTAGGAATAAACTGCTCGATTTATATGTATTCGTTTTACAATGCTTTTATAACCTTTTTGAATATTTGATGTTTTGGTGGCCTTGACTTTCCACTGAGGGGCAGAAACCTCTTAGGTTACATTAAATATCATCTTAATTTGTGTTTCAAAGATTAACTAAAATTTAGTTGAGGGTGAGACAATTATGATATAATTTTCTTTTTTGGTTGAAGTGTCATGAATGATACCACTAAGTTGTATCAACTTTTACAAAAGATAAATAATAGGTGTATTAAATTATGTAGAAGGGATTTTTGCATTTCGTCTCTACTTCCCTGTCAAGGCCTGACAAGGTAATGACTATATGTATGTATGTATATACAGTCGTCAACATTTGAAGTGGATCTCAACCTTTCATCAAAGTTATACATGAACTTTGAACAAAACCCGTTCTTGTCTTAGGACAACTTTGATTATCTTTTTTGATCCACTTCACATGTTGACTACTGTATGTATGTATAAAAAAAAGGTTATCCAGTAATCACAAACAACTGGTGAAAGCACTCTCTTTTTTAGCATTTAAAATATGTTTTGATGATGCAAGTTAGATAAAATGATCAGTATTTCTTATACAATTTTAACTAATTAACGTAATATATTTTTTAAACATTATGCATGGGTTTAGCAGGAAATAGCACATTTTTTTTCCATTGTTTAATTGAAAAATCATCAGGATTTCAATAGCCCTTCTGTTGTTCCCATAATTTTCTCTTTATTGCAATTACTTTAGCAGTAAAGGTGAATTGTGTTCTTGGCTTTGGTACAGTTTCAGCCCTTTTCTCACCCCTTTTATGCTACATGTTCCGTCCGTTTGCCAAATAACTGATTCCTGTTTTGAGGAGAGGCAGGAAATGATGCTGTTGCTTTGACAGAACTGTTTATGTTTCCCACTTTCAGATGTTGGAAGCACATGCAAAAGATGTTGCATAAACCTAATGTGGTGCTCACCAAGTTTTTCCTTTACATCTTTATTTATTGTGCAGTCATTTGTGTAATGCTTAAATCAATATACTTCCTCATTCAGAACTGTACTGTGTATACGTTATGCATTTCAGTTGAAAAATAGCTCTGTAACATCATATGGTGCTGGGTGGCAATGACGGTTGAGTAGGGTGGGTATCATTTTGAGTTTGTAACCCTGTCGTTGTCCTCTGCAGGATCTCACTTTGTGAAGTTTTATGCACCATGGTGTGGGCACTGCAAAGCCATGGCTCCAACATGGGAACAGCTCGCCACCAGCTTTGAGCATTCAGACAGCGTCAAGATCGGCAAGGTGAGAGGCCGTCATGGTTTCTCTCTTCATTTTCCACATTGTAAATGTTCTGATTACTTATCAAACTTTTTTTTTTTTTTTGCTTGCTAAAGGTGGATTGCACACAGCATTATGAAGTGTGTTCAGAAAATCAGGTTCGTGGTTATCCCACGCTGCTCTTCTTCAGTGATGGAGAGAAGGTAAGGACCTCTAGCGTAGCTTAATTTTTTAAGATGGATATTAATGTTTATGAATATTACTGTTCAAAAGATTGGGGTTGATAAGTTTTTTTTATTTTTTTTTATAATTCTATTATGCTTACCAGGGCTGCATTTATTTGTTCAAGAATACATGAAAACAGTAAAATGGTGAAATTATTTCAACTTAAAACAACTTTTTTCCATTTTTATTTATTTTTAAGAGTAATTTATTTCTGTGATGGCAAAGCTCAGCTTTCAACAGCCATTACTCCAGTCTTCAGCCACATTATCCTTTAGTAATCATTCTAATATGCTGATTTGATGCTCAAAAAACATTTATTATTTTTAATGTTGAAAACATTGGTGCTACCTAATATTTTTGTGGAAACTGATATATATTTTTTTTAATAGAAAGTTCTAAAGAACAGCATGTATTTAAAGGTGAAGTATGTAGTTTCTGCTAGTGGCACCTAGAGGAATTACAAAAATAAACTCCACTTGTGCGCATCGTGCCTCCCCCAACTCAAACATCACAATCACAGCTCTTACGGGTGCTTGTAAAAGCATATCTCAACAGATAAAAGTAGGCTACTTTCAATAAAAGGACCAACATATTAGGAGTACTTTTAGCTGTTTTGCCATCTGTCATGAGTAAGGAATTGAGCAGGCTAACACTCTTGAGTGCACTCTTGAGAGACCACGAGTGTATGTTATGTGCTGGACACATTTTTTAAAATGGTTTTACCAATGGTTTGAGGGGGTCTACACTGGACACATCACAGTAACATAAATAGTTAAATTTTTCTTTCTGAACTGGTGAATGATGTTGTATTAAAGCGTCCATTGTAGCATGTAGTGTCGCAAAGCCCCATTCGCCTTGATGCATTCATGACCTGTTTAATCTTTGAGGGAACTTGGCTTGCTCTCCTGTACCCGAAGCTGAATATTTCCCCAGGTAATACGTCAGTCATGGTCCCACAGCGGCTAAACATCCTGTGGCTCTGCTTGCTACTGTAGCCATTTCCCAAACTCGCTCTATAGGCCTAATGGTTAGAGAGTCAGACTGGTAACCCGAAGGTTGCGGGTTCGATTATTAAAAACCTGCAGGAAATGACTGGGGTGCCCTTGAGCAAGGCATCTAATCCCCAAACACTCCCTGCTATGACTATTTTGCTAGTCATAGCAAAATGGCTGCCCACTGCTCCGGTGTGTTTGTCCACGGCTTGCAGGATGTGTGCGTTCACTACTCAATACTCCTAATGTGTGTGCTCTAACTTGGATGGATTAAATGCAGAGGGCAAATTCTGAGTATGGGTTACCATACTTGCCCTTCATATGTCACTTTCACTTTTTCACTTCCACTTATAGGTTGAACTGTAGAGAGATTGACAGGGAGATAAACCTATTAATGGCATTCTAATAATGAACAACAAAATGGGTTAAGGGAATGTATTTTAACAAAAATCTTAAAAGTAAAATGTAAAAGTTTTTACAAAACTGACCCTTTTGATCAATTTAATGCATATAAAAAAATCTTACTGATCTCAAACAGTTTTTTGTTTTTCAAATATGCATTTATCTTTCTATGATTTCTATGATTTTCACCTGGTGACAATTAAACAGTTATTTTAAAAAATCCCACGGGCTTGTGTTGGGGTCGCCCAATCCATATTTAGAGACCAGAATGTCACACATCACTTAGCAATGCCTGCAAAACCATGATAAAATATGCAATTACTGTTTACACCAAACAATAATGGTAAGCTGTGCACATGTATGTTTTCAGGTCGATCAGTACAGAGGGAAGCGCGATCTGGACTCGTTTAAAGAGTTTGTGGATAATCAAGTGAAAGCTGCTGAATCTAAAGATGAACCTGTGATTGAGGAGGAGCAGGTTCAAGAAATCCCTCCCAGTGCTGAACCTGAAGAACAAGAGGTGGGTGTCTGTTTAAGTTTTCACACAATACGGGTTTTGTTTGCAAATTTCCTCCTTGGCACCATAGAGATTTCATTCGTTTGTATGTGCGGGCAGATGTTTGAACAGCAAGCTGCAGACTTTGGCCCGTAGACACAAATCTGCATCTTGAAACCGAGGTAGTAATTATGGGCAGAGCAGCTATTTCCTCTTGCTGATGCAAATGTGCATGTGTGCGTGCGCTTGGGTTGGTGGGCTGGACTGGAGGGTGTGGGCGGGGAACTTAAAGAGCTGTTATTTTGTTTTGTTAATTGGCTTTCCTGTCTAAGCTTGTCTTTTATAAAGGGATTCTGGCTGGCTGGAATTGTTGGATGGCTAAAGAACGTCCCTCAAGAGCTGTATCATAGATCTGGATTTTTTTCAGATTGAGGATAATTTTTAAAGATTGTAAAACGTTAGACTTGCTGATGCCTTTAAGATGAGACCTTGCTCTTAAACAATGTTCTGAACTGGTGATGTAATTAAGGAAACTAGCCAGTTTCCCAGAGAGGTAGTTAAACTTCAGCAGGATATGATAACCTGTGGAGATTCTCTAGGGTTTATGCTATGTGCTGTTCTGCCCCGTGACACAAATGTTGTGCTATTATGTAATTAACACTTTAGTTAACAAGGAATACATTATTAGTGTTAAATGTAGGGGTGTAACGATACACAAACCTGACGGTTCGGTTCGTCCCACGGTTTTGAGGTCTCGGTTCGGTTCGGTTCGGTTCATTTCGGTGGGGTGGGGGGGTTTAGAAAGCTAAAATTGCTTTTATTTTTTATTGAACAGTGCTTTAATGAACAAATTGTGTCCTTGTCTTTAAATTAATTCAATTACAAGTAAACGTTTCTCAAGGATAACAAAATTATCTGCTAATGCTGTAAACTACAGCCCTTACTTGCACATTACTATAACATTAAAGCTTAACAACAGAGCCTAGACTTTTAACCTAAATTATATAATAATAATCAACACTCAAATAACAAATTGTATGAAAACATGTAAACTGCACATAAGGCAATTTTTGCATTAACATGTTTTTACTCTAATTTGTTATTGTCATATAATAATTTACACAGTTGCTGTTATTTTCATGACAACTATTTTAAACATACATTAAATAATCAAGACATCATAAACAGGTTAAGTAAAATATAATATATAGGCTAATATATAGCATTTATTTAGTGAAAGAGTTAGCAAACCAGCAAGCTGTGGACACTGAATGACTTGCCTGAGGTAAATATAAAGCTATGTGAAAAACTAAGCGTTTTATTGACGTATTTCCGCTGTTGAAACACTGATTGAGTGTTTACACGAGTTATGATGCCTTTCAGTAAGTATACTGTATCTTTCAACATACCTTCGGGTGTCCATTCATGTTTATTCTGTAACTGAGGAAGAGATGATCGCGCTCCGCGCTGCCGCATGCATACAGTGAAATCTGTCACGCCACATCTAAGAGCGCCAAAACGGCATTTATTGTTTGCATTTCGTGATCAAATAGACATAATTTGAAAGATTACACCTTGCTTATTATCAAAAGTAACAAAACACTGACCTTATCGCGATTATATGTGGTTAATGGTGGTTAGGCAACAGCCCTGTATTCGTTGTGTACACATAACACATGAGGTGCAATGAGCCGGGGCAGCAGGGGGCGGGGCGTGTTCGGTTCGCCATGAGAGTATCGCGATACGTATCGTGGGTGGTGTATCGCGGTTTTTCGGTTCGGTTCAAATATCGTTACACCCCTAGTTAAATGCGTACAAAATATGTTGCCACTAAAACATTTTCATTTTGTTTTCTCTCAGTCTAATGTTCTGGTCTTGACTGAGAGCAACTTTGATGAGACGGTTGCCAAAGGACTCTCCTTCATCAAGTTCTATGCCCCATGGTAAGTGTTAGTAGGGTCTCATTTGACCTGTAATTTATCAGTGGTCTGGTGTAGTGGCAGGTGGGGCTGGCTGATATGAAAAATACTTACTTCATAGTTCATTCATACTGTTGTTTGTGATATAAAACCTAAGCAGCATCAATATTAATATACTAAAATAGTTTTTATTAAAATGTAATCATTTATGTATTTCAAGTATTTTCTTTTAAAATATAACCAAAAACTCAAATAAAATAAATTATACCCAAATAGTAATTTCAAGGTGCTTAAGCTAAACATAAATTAGAAATGTTGCCTTTGCAACTGGCTTGACTTTGATGAAAAAGAGTTAATACGAATAATGGGAGATGGGAATGACTAATCGGGTGTTTCTCCATATGGTGTTTTATTTACTGTTGGTGTAGGTTGCCAACACCACCGTCATCCGCTCGAACAACTTGATGGAAACGCACCTAATTCCCATTTGTTTTTTTTTTTGTTTGTTGCGAACTTGCGAAAAGATTCGCTTTACGTTTGGATGGAATCCCAGCTACTGAATCATTCATTCAAACCAATTTTGTTAGAACATTTATTCAATAACATTTTATTTTGTTTAATTGTTTATTCAGAATCGTTATTCCTATTTTAAACAAAAAAAAAGGGTAACACTTTATTTTAAGGTGCTTGTAATAAGCAGTAATTAACAGTTAATAAGACACTTATAAGACCTTATAAGATGCATATAAGATGCATATAAGCATTAACTAATTATAATAAATAAATAAAATAAAATAATAAATTTCTCAAGTATCAATACATTGCACTTTTAGAACAGCCGAACAAACATAAATGGTAACACAAACTCTCAGTCCCTTAAAAATTGACCTTCCCAAGAGGGAGTAGTTTCCCTGATCTCTTCAGGGCCTGGACCTTTAATTAACCCTTATATGAAGTAGTTAATGCTTATATGCATCTTATAAGGTCTTATAAGTGTCTTATTAACTGTTAATTACTGCTTATTACAAGCACCTTAAAATAAAGTGTTACCAAAAAAAGTGATTCTTAATTTATCCAGAATCGCACAGCTCTCTAGAAGTGATTAAATTCCATGTTTTTTTTTTATAAAGAAAAAGCTGCTGCTTTTTTTTTTGGCCAATGAAAATAGTTCTGAAAAAGGCCAAAGCAGTATCATGTGGATTGATACTAACAGTAAAACATTTGGTACTATAATAGAAATAACAGCTTTTATGGAATTAAATTAGAGGATCAGAACTGTTCCATGTATGGATGAATGGGTAAATTGTCAAAAATGGATTCTTAGTAAGTGTGTTTCTTAGTCAAAATATCGAAATAATATTTAGGGCTGTCATGATTCCTCGATTAAATTTGAGTACTCTATTTAAAAAAAAAAAAAAATTGATTGCACTTTATCCGTCGCCGTGGCGCATTCCACAGACGAGAATCCATGAACCGCATTATTAGAACGTTTTCTAAGGCTGCACGATATATAAAAACCATACTACAGCATAGTGCTGTTGTGAATTCACAAAGACTGATTCAATTCAATCAATGTATGCCCTGGGGGTTTAATATATGCACTTTATTTAATGTGAGTAGGTAACTCAGAGCGACTCCGTTCACAGCAAATGCTGCTCCACATGAACTGTTAATATTTACATGCGTGAAGCATGTCTCAAACTCCATCTTTGCAAATGCTGTGAATTTGGGTCGCTTATAACGTTCATCTGGAAACGCAATGTGCACCATTTCATCAGATTTGTAAGGTAAATCATTCATAAACCTATGCCAACACAGGAGAATTCATCAATATCTTTCTAAATATGCAAACTGTTCATTGCAATTTTAAAATAAGTTTATACCTTCGCTCTGAGTTTGCTTGTTTTGATGTCCACATATGCTTGTTCAAGAAATTCCAGTGGCTGTAGCGTTTCTATCATCAAGTTGTCAAATATTAAATTTTAAAACTTCACAATTGCTGTTTGTTTCAAATGGAGGTTCCTCTGATTTATTCATTTGATTTTTTTAGAGATGGATCAAATGTTATCAAAAGACTAAACATTGAGATTATTTTTAAGCTCTATTGCCAAGCCCTGCGCACTGACAGACATGTATGTGTGTGTGTATATATTTCCTTGCACGCACATATGAACACAGTGTGCTTCCCTCCCCTATCTGTTCCTCTGATCATCTTGACACTTCCTTAGTAGCTGATCAAAAGATCCGCCTGTCCCTGATTGGCTCTTCCTCTGTCGTTCAGCGACTCACGCGATGTGTCCGTGTGTTTAAGGTGCGGTCACTGCAAGAACCTGGTCCCTACCTGGGAGGATCTATCTAAAAAGGAGTTTCCTGGTCTGACTGATGTGAAGATTGCTAAAGTGGACTGCACAGTGGAGAGAACACTCTGCAACAGATTCTCTGTGAGTGCCGCTCATATAGTCTGGAACTCAAATTCTGGCCTGCCGGGGGGAGGGATTGTGGATGTTTGAGGGATGGGGTCGACATAACTTTATATTAGTGGCAGAAAGTCATTTTTTGAACGAGGACATTCTTTAGCCAGTTTCAAAAGCTACCAGCAATGGAGATTTTAACAATGATACAGGTTTCGGTTCTATAAACTATATGGTCGAGATCCATGTTTGGATTTATTACAGTTCATCACTGGGATAATTTGCAGCATTTAGATGTAGTTTCAGCAAACGTGAAGAACACACTCTCTATATGTAATGTTCAGAATATCTCAGTGGAGATCACTAAAATCCAGCTTACATGTTTGTCTGCGTTTTCAGATAATCTGAGCTTTTTCTGCAGTGTAGAGAGAGTGCTTGTGCATGGGTGCCAGATTGTGAAGATTAAGTAAATCCAGGGTTACATTTTCAAGGGCAGGGAATGTATCCATGAGAAAAGTTCTGATTGGAGGGTTTAAACTCTTGAAATCTGGCAATCCCAAGCTTGAAGGCTCGCAGTCTATAATATTTTGTTCCTTCTTTATATTAAGTGTCTTTAACTTGCGTCCAAAAAAATGAATGACAACACATTTTGATGGTCCACTTTAGACATTCTACTAACTATACGTAACTTTGCAACTAGATCAACTTATTCTTCTAACCCGAACCCTAAAACCTAAACCTAACCTTAACTTAAGTCTACTACAGTCTACTAATACTCTAATGAGAGTTTGTTGACATTGTTTCAAAGTTGCTTATTGTAAATTAGTAAACTGTCTAAAGTGGACCATCATTATAAAATGTAAACACCAAATTAATTGTAAGGTACCATGTCATTTTGTATTGCAAAAGACTTTTTGCTTCTGGGGCTCTATGCAATTTTGGATGCAGCTTAGAATTACAATAGATTTCTGTAGATTTTTACATGTTGCAGATATAACCTTTCTAATTAGTTTGAACCATTTCTATCTATTTTTCTATACTGAATTACATTTGTCTCTACTCTCTTATTTGTGCCTACAAATGCTGTCACCACATTTTTGTAAAGAGCAAGTTGTCTTTGCTCCATTTTTTAAAATGGATATCTAAATGTATGTCAATTTTTTATCATTGTTCTCTGTAGGTGCGTGGATACCCAACACTCCTGATGTTCCGGGCCGGGGAACAAGGGGAGGAGCATAATGGAGGGCGGGACTTAGAGAGCTTGCACAGTTTTGTCATGAAGCAAGCAAGAGATGAGCTGTAACTCTTCCCTCAATGTATCTCCCACGATTCCTCTACAAAACAACACTATCTTCATTTATTATACTGTCAGAAGGACTGCTTTTTCTTCATTTCTGTCCCACACCTGCTGAAGTGAGGACAATCTCTTCCACATGGTAAAATGTGAATGTACATGATTTAATCTCGAGCAGTCGATGAGATTACTAGCAAATACAACCATACACGTTTGATTGTGCCCTTCCTCCTTGAAAGAAACAGTTGTGGGTATGAAAAAGACATCTCTTCAGATCATTACATCGTTTAAGGTGCATATTTTGTACATGTCAATTATATGAGGAAATTAATTTAGCTCAGTTCATTATGATTATCAACTAAGACTGAAAATGACCTCAGGGAGACCCTCTAAAGATTGTCTTCTCCCTTTTTCTCAATTCAATGTAAAATACTATTCGATGCACACTTACAAACAGCACTTTCAGTTGAAATTTTAAATGCATTTCTGTTGTGATATTAGGTTTTGAATTGGTTTTACTGTTCAGAGGTTAAAATAAACTAGACTAAGGTAGTTTGTTAGCCAGGTTGGGAGATCAGTTTAAATCGGCCAAGATCAAGCTGGTTTGGATGGTTGGCCATAATCATCAAACCTGGCCAGTCTAACCAGCTTAATGGCCAGCAACCCACATTAGACTTGTTTAAGCAAAATGTGGACATTTGCTTAACTACTTTGAATGGTTAGTTTTGTCTTCTAAAGCTTCTTAGTGTTCTTACAGGCATATGAGTGAGGCAGACACATTTTCAGACATACTGCCATTTATATTAAGCATTTCTGGTCATTTTGTCAATGATCAGAACATTGAAACCATGCAGAATAGTTAATATTTGTTTTATAGTGACAGTTTATGGAAAAACGGTTTATTTTGTATTACAGTACAGGTTGTGAACGGTAAAAGCAGTTACGGTACAGTAATATTTTTTTTCTTAAAGTTTGTTCTGCAGATGTGACTCTTTTGCTCATCATTTTTGATTAGATTTGGGTTTTTTTAGACTGTTTGAGTCTTTCTTTTCTCATTTTTGTCTCTGTAATGCAGTCTTGATGGCTTTCACATGCAGTCAACCACTTCATTCAGACACTAGTGTTGCCTGGTATCATTGCTTGAAGAATGCTGATAGTACTTGTATGTGTTCTCTGATGCTCTCAAGTGGTTTCATTGATTTATACAAATGTAATTTGCATTTTTCCTTTTAAATGTTCCCACACTGAAATGTTTATTTTTCTGTTTTACTGGATCTGAAAGAGAAGGAAGGGAAAAGCAATCAGAGAAACCACATATATTCAGTCTTTATGGGAGGCACATGGCCATGGCCGACCTCGATGAAAAACGCAGTATTTTTGTCCTCTGTGTGAGAGAGGTACACACACTGCCTGGGGGTTTTTGTACAAAAAAAAAGGCACATTGACAAATTTCATAATAAAATGTCTTTTTCCAAAAATAGCCGTTTTAATTTTCTTCCTTTACTCTTGTTATATGATCTCTGTGGTGTATGATTCATAAAAGGAGCAATAAATAAACTGTAAAATGTACAAGTATTTACACACAAACATCCAAATATGGTTAAGACATGTAAACAGCAGTTTATGGGAGGTATGTGATATAATTAGGATCATAAAAATGACAATATTTGGAAAATTGTTATTGATATTGCTACAATGATGAAAATACACAATGTAGCCTGTCCAGAAAGAGCTTTGTACCATTCAACGGCTCACAGTGAAAAAAAAAAAGATGGGTAGCTGCGTAGTTAGGTTTGACAATAAATATTGACATGAGATGGTGGAAAATCTACAGCCCATATGAGGATGTTGGCATAGAATATTGGTTTGTTGCTGAAAAACCTTAAATTATCCGTAGGTCCTTGTGTCTTGTGGGAGGTTTTGGATGTAAGCCATCCGAGGTGCAGGTGTTGCAGGAAAATTATAGATCTGTGGTGTTTGACGGCATCAAAAAAAGAAAGAGTTCCATCCTTGGAACAGCAACATAATGGTTCCGTTCTTTGAGTTCTGTTGAAGTGTGTAACCACTCGCTCTGACTCACTGATGCAAACCACAGGTAGTGCAGAGCAAATATTGAGAAACTTAAAATAATTTGATTTTTTTGAGACCTAAAATAGAGTCCTGTGGGTTCAAGTGACTTCATCAAAAATAGACGAAACAGTAGAAACTTTCCTGTTCAGATTTCTGTGCTTCAGGACCGTTTTAGATATTAAAGGGGTCATATCATGAGGAACCAAAGTTTCTTTTGAAATAAAAGAGCTACTGTAACTCAAATTGTCTATTTATATTGGGGAGGAAGTTCCTGAAAGTTGCAAAAACAACTTGTTCTGGAACTATCAGACAGATAAAGACTGTAGAACAAGATGTCTAAAGGCATAGCAGCAGCAGCAGCAGCAAAAAAAAACATCCTGTGTAATTCCAAGGGTCAGAGAAAGGGTTTAAAATAGTATTAGAAAAAACTATTTTGGCTCTTTTGGTGAAACTTTTGTAACATTATAAGCGGAACTCAGAAATTAAATGATGTATGACGTGACCCCTTTAAAGACTTTGGTAAGTAAAACACTAATTTAAATACGTATTGCATTTTAGCTCATAATTTACATTTTCTTTGGGTTCATTTTCTGATCTGTAGATTCAGATGTACATCCTCTTGGCAGTTTGTAGGATCTGAAATGTCCCATGAGAAATGGTCCTAGGTGTGAAGATAAGGAGAAAGCAGCAAACCTGGATCCACTATCGAGACGTACTCTCACATTTGTTCATAACGCTTGTCATTTTGTTTTGTCAGTCCTTACACACATTTGTCAGTGTCTGCGATGCAGCTGTCGGGCAGGAGGGTACGTGTCCCATGTCAGTGGCAGCCACATGAGCGCACCACCATGTTCTTGTATTTTTTCAGAATGACATTGGAGTTGTCATCATAGTAGAGCACGGAGATCGCGTGCAGTTTGGTGGGAGCGCAACATGGCTTTGGGACGTTCTCTGGATTCATCAGATGGACCTGAAAAGTGGAGCAAGATTTTTTTTATTATTAAATTACTCCTGTGAAAAACTTTTAAATAGATGTGTTCTGTTAGGGCTGGTATTTATTTTATGAAGAAGAACTCACCAGTGTCTGTACTATAGCATGATTAGTAGCGTTCATATGGGCGTTTAGGGGAAAAGAGCATTCTCCATCACAGTAGTTTGCTGCGTAGCCCTCAGGTGCAATAATCCAGTCCTGACAAAAGACATTTAAAATTGAAATGGCTGCCCACACTAAAATAATCTTAAAATAGAATCAACACATTTATAATCATCAGTTATATTATATGCAAATGGCTACTGAAGCCTACACCAGTCTTGATATCTGTAATGATGAATATGCAAGTCCTTCCTCTTTACCTGCCAGCCCAGTTCTCTGAAGCTGACATACAGTTCATGCTTTTTGCAGGCGGTCTTCTGATCACTGCTGTTGTAATCTGCCATTCACAGAGAAGAGAGACATTAACACGTGATAGGTTACAGTATAACATACTACACATTTAGCTTTATACTAATGGTGAATTTTTCTTAAATGGTTCCCTTTTGAAAAAGTGTGCTCAATTGTATTGAATGTGCAGTTGTGTAGCCTACCTCAGATCTTACATTTTTAAATGTATATTTTCAGTGTACTTAAAGAGAGTACACTTTCCTGTTTCTTAAAATTAACTACAGTTTTAAAAAGTGAACTTTGTAATGGTCAAATTAAAAGTTTATTTTAAGTACATTTTAAATCATTATGTTTTAAAAATTATTTTGTTGTGCTTTAAAGACACTAATTTTGATGTGCTTACTAACACAAAAGTGCACATGAAAATTCTGGCATCATTTACACAGAGTTGAGTAGCCTATAACTGCATTTGGAATCCAAATTGCTGAATGAGAGTCACTTTTAAACCTTCTTTCACTCTTTATTCCATACAGTAAAAATAAATGGTGACTGAGGCTTTATTTTTAGCCTTACATTTCCTTTCATGCTCCTTGTAAGGAAGAAAGTCATACAGATTTGGAACAGGAGGGCGTCTAAGGCATTTCTTGTCAAACACATGAAATATCTTTGGTGCACTTCTAACCCATACGGTGCCTTTAAGATTCCTCAATTTAAAATTTGTCTCAAAACAAGAATAAAGACAATATTTGAAGTGAGACTGCTAATCCTGTCAACATCACAAAACATTTGCTTTGCAACAATGTATCCTTTACCACTTTACCAGTTGCTGTCAGCAACATTTACAGTTTATTTCAATGATCTGTACGGCTCCACCCCGTGAACTAGCCACATGTCAGCAGCAGGTAGGTTTGGGTTTTCTGAAGGGGAAGGTCATCTCTGGCACTGACTCCTGCTCTGAATTCAAACTCTGACACAATCTTTCCACTGGTGTTCTCATACAATTTTTTTTTTTTTTTTTTTTTGCTAAGTGCAGTGGAGTGGGAGAGGAGAGAGAAAACTATGATATCAGTTCAGGCCAGCTGCAATCCCTTCCTGTTTTTTTTTTTTCAGGTCCTGCCCCCAAAGAGCAAAACTTTGGCCATCCAGAGATCTTGCTAACCAAAACAGTGTCAAGACATGCCATGCAAGACAGGTAGTTAGAAGAAGTACCACCACATTTGATCAAACTAACCCCCCACAATCCCATACACCACACTTTTGCCATGTCTGAGAGCATACTGGCTGTTATACTGTTTGTTTTCTTTTCAAACAGTCTGCTGAAGCCTCCCTAATGATACCATACTGTAATTCATTACTGTAATGACATTATGATGTAAGTAAATTTAATTTACTGCTCTCGTAAGACAAAAGATTATATGTTGATTCAACTTGACAATGAAAACCCATTATACAGCTGAGAAAAACAACTAATACATACACCTGTCGAAATAAATGTTTCATGGTTTGATAATAATAATAATGTACATATGATCAACACAACAAATCTGTATTTCGCTTACAGCACACAAAATGTGTTCCCCTAAGTTTGTACATTGGTTTCACATTTGCAGGAAACACTTTGTAGGACATTAGATGGAAACCGCCCTGGGGAGGTGTCTAGAACACACTAGCTAATGACTGGGGTACCCCAGGGTTCGATGCTTGGGCCCCTTTTCTTGTCAATATACTCAATATTTAAAACTCAGCCAGCCTGGCAATTCCACACAACATCACAGTCCAGCTGGGCTCAACAACATTAACAACATACAAGTCAGTCAGGAACCTGGTGGTAATGTATAATACAACCCAGGCTCATTGGAAAAACACGCATGTGGCCACATTTCTGCAAAATGATGTTACATTGCCTATTGCATGTTCCATTCCACTTTCAAAGTGAACTGTCCAGTAAGTGTTCATTTTTATCCGAAACAGCTAAACTTGAATCTGGCACTGTTTTGTTATGTTGGTTGTTGCAGGTATCATGATAGTTCGGAAATGATACGTGTGAAAAAGAACAAAAGTTGTTGGTGTTTTACTGCCTCGAGTGTTTATTTCATCTGGAAAGTGCAGTGCTTTGAATGTTTTGGTACATGTTTGGGATTTTGCAAAAATATAGGAAGAGGCACATTTTTCCAATGAGTCTATGTTGGTTTAATGATGAGCTTAAAGAGGACCTATTATGAAATAGATCTTTAAAGTTACAAAGCCCACTACAAAGGGAGTTATTCTCTATCAGTAAGCACAGTTCCCTTTCTTAGTCACTTCGAGTTAAGTCATGACGACGAATGGGGTTCGCTTAGAAGCCTCTCATCTTCGAAAGAAATAAAACGAGCCAATGGCAAGGAAATGCCATGGGTCTGCGGAATTTGCATGGCGTAACTCCGCCCCACCGCGTGGGTATAAAAGGAGAACGCCGGCAATATGCAGATATGTTTTCGCTTCGGAGCCAAGTTCTCTTCATTCCTGCAGCCTATTCTCTGACTATCTTCGAGAATCTTCTAGACGAGCAGCTTCCAGTCGGTGTTGATGTGATGGCGAGTTCCAGCGAGTTTCACATTCCTGCCAGCTGAACTGAACAGCGTGTGTGTTTCTCCCTGGGTGCTTCAGCACTGCTACAAGCTTTTCTCTCACAAAAAGAGCGTGCACGCGGCATGTCTTTCTAAAGACGATCTGCCCGTGTATTTTTGAGTGCGGTATTCTGATAGATTCAGCTGATGGGCACGAGCGCTGTTTTGACGTGTTTGGGCTTCGATCACGTTCATACAGCGTTCGTGGATGGGTCACGTTCTCCCAGCGGGAACATGACCATCGCAATGTAACGGTCGAGACTCGATGAGCTCAACAGAGCGAGAGTCCCCTCATCCACACCCCAATCTATTTTCTCCACGCGAGATAATACGTCGGCTGGTGGCCAGGGTGACCTAAGACGGCAGGCCTGGAACTAAACCGACGAAATATCCTCAGTCCACAACCCGTCTTTCACATTGCAACCAGCGCGGTTCTGAGTGAGTTCACCGACCAGAGCCGCATCAGAGGACGGCGTCCTCTGATGCGGCTCTGGTCGGTCAGGTTATCTGCTCGGTGGGTTATTTGGGTTTGGATATATGCGGGCCCGCGATCTCACTCAGCTCAACTCCTCCATATCCCAGGCTGGCCTCTTCGGCGGCGCGGTCGAGGACTCTGCCCAACAGTTCTCGGACGCCCAGAAGCAGACTGAGGCTACTCAGACGCCTCAGTCCGCTTGCCGCTGAACGCGCCCTCCTGCGCCTTCCGCCTTCCGCGAAGGCTGTCTCCCTCCACCCTGAAAGTGTATGTTGCCGCTATTGCCGCACAACATGACGCAGTTGAAGGTAAGTCCGTGGGAAAGCACGATCTGATCATCAGGTTCCTGAGAGGAGCGAGGAGACTAAATCCTCCTCGCCCTCCTCCCGTTCCCTCTTGGGTCCTCTCAGTGGTTCTAACTGCCCTGCAGAGTGCTCCCTTTGAGCCTTTGCAATCAGTGGAGCTTAAGTTCCTGTCAGTTAAGACAGCGCTCCTGGTTGCACTGGCCTCCATTAAGAGGTTAGGGGACCTGCACGCATTTTCTGTAGACGAAGCGTGCCTGGAATTCGGGCCGGCCTATTCTCATGTGATCCTGAGACCCCAGCCTGGATATGTGCCCAAGGTTCCCACCACTCCCTTCCGGGACCAGGTGGTGAACCTGCAAGCGCTGCCCCTGGAGGAGGCAGACCCAGCCTTGGCATTGCTTTGTCCAGAACGCGCCCTCCGTGCTTATGTAGACAGAACGCAATGTTTCAGGACCTCTGACCAGCTCTTTGTCTGTTATGGTGGGAAGCTGAAGGGAAAGGCTCTCTCCAAACAAAGGTTGTCTCACTGGATAGTGGATGCCATTGCTTTCGCTTACCAGCAGCAAGGTCGACCATGCCCCCTTGGTGTGACAGCCCACTCCACCGGAGTGTGGCTTCCTCTTGGGCTCTAGCGCATGGCGCCTCGCTAACAGACATCCGCAGAGCTGCAGGCTGGGTGACACCCAACACATTCGCCAGATTCTACAATCTTTCGAGTGGAGCCAGTGTCCTCCCGTGTACTCGCTTCAACCAGCCGGTACTAGGACCCACTCGTCCTTCATCCATGCTAGTCTCACGACAGGGAGCTCAGACTTACGCAGGGCACTGGAAGACAGCCGAGGTGGCGTGATTGGACTGGGAACCCCATTCGTCGCCACGACGTAACTCGTAGTGACTACGAAAGTGAACGTCTCGGTTACGGATGTACGACTCCCTGCCACTTCCGCTGTACCGCTGGAACAGCCGAGTTCAGTCTTGGCTACTCAGCGAAGAAACATATCTGCATATTGCCGGTGTTCTCCTTTTATACCCACGCAGTGGGGCGGAGTTACGCCATGCAAATTCCGCAGACCCATGCCATTTCCTTGCCATTGGCTCGTTTTATTTCATTCGAAGATGAGAGGCTTCTAAGCGAACCCCATTCGTCGTCACAACGTAACTTTGAACTCCCTGAAATGCCTCAATTGTAGTCTTGGGTTTCTTTCCAGAAACTTATGTCCCAAAATTTCTCATTTAAATAATTCCCGCCCAGGGCATATGCTAAAAAGGGGCGAGGCCAGGTTGAGTTGAGTTAGTATTTTGTTGAAACTCACGGTTATGATAAGGGGAGTGATATTTCCGAAAAACACGCAAAGTTGAACAATCACACACTGTTCCAGATGACTAATCAGAGCACATTGCGGTTTTTGGAAGGATTGGGATTTATAAAAGCAGGAACTAAACAGAGCTTTACTGACAGACTGGGAAGAGAGGTGCTACAACAATGTAAAATATGTGGAAAATTATGTGTTTTTGTACATTCAAGCATGAAAACCTAAAACTAAATAAGGGCATAATATGGCCTCTTTAACTTCACCCATAACATCGCTATGCCTAGACATGCAGATAAAGTTCCTAGCCATGAAGATAGAAAAGGTGTTTTTCTCTAATGTTTGCTCAAAAC